ATCGTAATTCAAGTTGACGGAAATAAATGTTCAAAATTAACGCAAAACCAGACAGATCATAAAAATTTCTACTGAAGAATTCCTAAGAGGAATTAATAATATGAATTTGAAGCGTCGATAGTGAATTATTGATAAAAAATTGTTTTTCGTTTCTTCGAGTGAGAATTTCTGGATTTTATAAACAAATAACTGAAAAGAATTTAAAACTTCACTTTGAGCTTTTCTCTTTCATTTTTAAGGAAAAAATTAATGAAAATTCCCAATTCCGTTCAACTTACTCCCAAAAATCTGTATTTTCCATTTGTTTAAGTCCTGAATTGCCAGTGGAATTGCAAGACCCTAGAGACATCATGATTTTAACGGTAAAAATTCCGTAAAAAATCATGAAAAATGTGGATGAATATTGAGTCAAAATAAGAAATAAAAATGGGTCATAACGAAACAAGAGATAACTGAGTAAAGTGTACACCAGGGGCAAGGGTTTATCGACCCTGTTGTATAGCAGGCAATTGCCTGCTTACAAAACGTTTCATGCGAATAAACTGTCGGTCGAAAGTCACGCGATTTCTCTCTCTTTCTCACTTCCTTTCTCCTTCCAACCGTCCAGTAATCGGTATGAATTCGGACCGGATCGATCAAAAGGTGTGTACAAGAAGATCCCCATCCGTCCTGAATATTTCATTTCAATAACTATATGAAATAACTATATAAAGAAAATAACATAATAACAATATTACTTTAAACGAAATAAAAATTGAATATTAATTATTATATTAATTAATTAAATACTACTTTATAACGAAATATACCAGAACTATTAAGATGTCTCGTTTTTGGTCAACTCAGCATATTCAATTTTTTTATTTTATTTTAATAACTATATGGAATAACTATATAAAGGAAATTACATAGTAATAATTACCTAATTATTCCCTAAGCTGTCCCTAAATGTCGATCCTTTACGACGCAAAATCATTAGGTGTTATAGAATATTTTATTATTGATATATCTACTATACTAACTCAGCATATTCAATTTTTTTATTTTATTTTAATAACTGTATGAAATAACTATATAAAGAAAATTACATAGTAATAATTACCTAACTATTCCCTAAGCTGTACCTAAATGTCGATCCTTACGACGCAAAGTCATCAGGTGTTATAGAATATTTTATTATTGATATATCTACTATACCAACTCAGCATATTCAATTTTTTTATTTTAATTTAATAACTATATGAAATAACTATATAAAGAAAATTACATAGTAATAATTACGTAACTATTCCCTAAGCTGTACCTAAATGTCGATCTTTACGACGCCAAATCATCAGGTGTTATAGAATATTTTATTATTGATATATCTACTATACCAACTCAGCATATTCAATTTTTTTATTTTATTTTAATAACTATATGAAATAACTATATAAAGAAAATTAAATAGTAACAATTACCTAATTATTCCCTAAGCTGTCCCTAAATGTCGATCCTTTATGACGCCAAATCATCAGGTGTTATAGGATATTTTATTATTGATATATCTACTATACCATCGTAACTATATAATCCTTTCCATAGTGATCTTTATCGAGTTTCAGGGGTTTCTACTATCTACGGATGCTCACAGCGAATTTTTACTGGTTAAGCATAACTGCACGAGAATTCATTATTTTTTGGGGAATTTTCAAATAAAATTCTATTGCTGCACTTTCTCCATCTCAATTTCTCTCCTCATCTCTCGTATCGTCTCAATTTTGAAAAAGGAAAGAACCATTCTGTCATGTTTATCGAGTTTTTTTATTGAGTCATGTACATTTTATCATAATGAGGTTGAAAAAAAAATTGGGGAAATTATTACTTGTATGCATCATACTTTCGAGTAGTTGAGGGTACTTAATGTTTCATGAACCTTAAGGAGCTTATGATACTTTTCCACGAGTACAGATGTTCCCCCGGAGCTTTATAGAACACAAAAATTTCCAACAAATTTACCACTATTTTTTATAATTAGGAGAGGAATTATTTTTTTTTATGTTAATTTTGCAGCGAATGGATGAATCATCTGCTTGATTATTTTTTTTCAGTCGTGTGGTGATGAATGGAAGTCACTCGAGAATATGTGAATGAGAGCAGAGGATAGGAATAATTGAGAGATATTAATTATTACTGGCAATCTTGTGGAGTTTAATTCGACGGTGAATGGTCACGTGTCAATTATGAATTAAGGAACGCCGGATAGAAATTCACTGGTACTTCATGCATAAAAAAATTCACACGAAAAACCACTGAATTTATCGAATCGTCATGTTGTTGAATGCCAGAGATGGGAAACGATATTCAACCATTTTTCAATAATCACTTCAATCAATTCGTTCATACGCGGAATTCAATTGAAGAATATTTCTGGAATCAATCATCCACTCGTCAATTTCAATTTGAAAATTCCCGGGCTCTCATCCGATATGAAGTTGAATCGCACTGCTACCAACCCTAACAACTAATGATAAGAGATAATAGGAGACGTGGAAAATATATCTTTATGAACCAGTTGCTATGCGCAATTAAAAATTCTTTTTAGCGATTCAAATTTTTTACGAATCGAAATAAAAACTTTGATGAGATTATGATCGATTGATGCAATGCGATATACCTGAGAGTATTTTTTATCGAGTTCGATAGAAAAATTTGAATGAGAAAAAGTGACTTTTCCCCTCGCCCCAAAAATTCTAGATCAACCTCTGAAGCTCTAGAAAAATAGAACCTTTCCCCTATTTTATTAATCAATCCTTTTTAATTTAATTTAATTAAATTAATCTGTTAAATTGAATTGTTTAATTTGATTTTCCATTCAATTTATAAATTTCCTGTTTGTCCTGTTATCATTTAAAAAATGATATAATTACAGATTGCAATATAATTATATAATTATATAAATATTATATAAATATAATTATATAATTACAGAATTGGGAAAATAATATTTTTAGAAAATGATAAAGTATTCTAAGAGACGTACAGTGTAAAAATGTTTATACATAGTTTCCTAAAGTGCGTGATATTTGAAATTTCAAAGGAATTGTTTTCAATTGATTACAATTCAACCCACGAGCTTCAAAGAATATTATTGAACCAAAGAAACGTTTTCAAAACACATTCCCGAAAGATTGTATTATAGCAAACATCGAAAACGTGAATGTTCATGGCCTTTCGTGCACTAAAGATAATTTTTGAGGAAGTTCTGACAGTAAATAGTTGATAAAACATTTCTTTCCAAGTATTTTACATTCCAGAATGATTTATTTATGTAATACGTTAATGAATCACATAGGAAATGAGTCTATACTGGATTGATAATTTCTAATTTGTTTAAAGTAAAAATAATAAATGAGATAGCAAATCTACACGAATAATAAATAATTACTAAACAAATGATCCCTAGGGTTTTTTTTAAATGTCTGGCAAATTTCAGGAAATCTGACTTTTTCCATTTAAACAATCCATTTGTTTAAATAGAAACAAATAAGAATAAATAAAAAAACAGATAAATAAACAAACAACGGTTTTCTGTGGAATTTATTAGAAAATTCAGGATTCGCCTGGACTACCCAAAAAATATAAATAAATACAATCTTTTGGTGGTATTTGTGAACTTAATTTATAAACAATAAATATCGCTCGATTGGGAATTTCATAAAAATGGGGGGAATAACTTCATCTTTCGGATGGAAAAGTCAATTTTTTGGGGATTACTCGCGATTTTTAAGATTTATTTAATCCGGAGTGTTTTTGCCATGAGCTCATGACTTTTCCGGTACTTTCCGGACTTTTCCGGAAAAATTATTTTCGGGAAAATGTAAGGGGTGGAAGACAAAAAGGAAAAGTGCATGAGAATTAATGGAACGGGTTGAAAATATATATTCCACAGGATCTTTCGTGAATTATAATCTCAAGGACGAATTTTTTCCTCGGTTTCATCTCGATTGATTGTATCAATAGTGCACGTTTGGAGTCGATAATTTAATTTTCTCTCATGAATTTCGACGGAAAACTGTTTATTAAGCTAAAGGCCTAGAATCCATTTTTGGGGGGTATATAACGATTTTATTTTATTTATCAAGGGTAGAATAATCCAGAAATCATATGATCATGACTCGAGAAATATCTCTAAGACTGAGAGGTAAATGATTAAATATTTTGGAATTGTAAAAAATTTTGGAGATAAAATGAAAGAATTTTTTCAATTCATTTCAAAAATATTACTTTATAACGAAATATACCAGAACTATTAAGATGTCTCGTTTTTGGACAACTCAGCATATTCAATTTTTTTATTTCATTACGAAACAAATGTAACAGTACTTTCGTTGAACGAACGATTTATAAATGAAGTGAAACATGAGAATGCATGTAGATGTAATTCAATACCCGACAAATGGAGAATTTAAAAGTCTTGATGGTTGAAAATCGAGAAACGAAAAAACCGCGACATTCGAAATACCAAAAAGATAAAAAAAATTGATAATAAAATTGAAGATCAAAATGAGAACAGAATGAATGAATTTTCGAATTTCATGCGAGTATTATGCAATTAAATTATAATTAAAAAAAAACAGCTCAGCCGAATGATAAATTCGTCTATCCAGAATTATTATTTCCTAAAATTAATTCTTTTAAATTAAAAAAGATTTTAGAATCATGATAAATAATAATATATTTGACTGAAAATCGAAAAATTCTTGAGAAAAAAATGTTGAGATAGCCATTTTTATCTAATTATATTCTTATTAAATTATCGATCGATTTTCGCTCTTATTTTTTCCATTATTCATTAGCAACAAATAATTTATCACGATGGATCGAGCACTCTGGAAATTTCCAACCGAAAAAGCAGAGAATTCCGTGAAAAATGTGAAAATTCCTTAAAAAAATTAGCAGAGCGATTTTTTTAGTGATTATAACTGAAAAAAAAAAATGAGTGAAATATGAAAACTCACCCAGAAGGAGTAGTTTAAGCTCCCGTCTGGCATCTCGCTTGTCCCTCCGAAGTTGCCGCTCTATCTCCTGATTAATTCGCTTCTGTTCCTTAGCCTCTTCCGACAGGCAGCACGCCATGATTTATATCAAGCAGAATCCTCGGAGGGAGGAGGGAGAAATTAGGGAGCACTCGAACCCTCTCAAAATTCTTAATTTTGTAGAAAAATTTTTTTTAACAATATTTTATAATGCCGAGGCTGTTGAATATCCAGGGCAGGAGGCGGCTATTGCCTGCTCTCGGCTGCCTCCTTACGACCGATATTATCTTGATGCCACGGTGATTTTTTTTATTCGAATTAAACCTAACGTCTCAGACGTTTTAACAGCCACTTTAACTGACCACGTATCACCTCTATTCTCCTTATCACGTCACAAATATTTATATTATCAACACTAGAACAAAAAAAAAATTCACTTTTCACTCGACACTTGGGTAAACAAAAATCTTTTTCTCTTTATTCTTCGTTGAAATACTCCTCTCCGGTTGAATAATCAATCAATTTGTCCTATATTTTCCTTGTTGTTTTAGTTGTTATTTCACAGGTTGACAAGTGCCTGTAATCTTGACTGATCTGCTACCACCACCTTGACGATTCCAGCGGATACGGCACATTCAGAACGCCCATATGCAATCACTATAAAAAAAAATAAATAATTATTAATAATAGAAAAATAACGATGAAAATGGAGTTATGCTAAGGTTGGGAGGGAATTGTACTGCTCTCTGGCTCCCAAATCCCCGAAAAAATTTCAAATAACAATAACTTCAACCGCAATCCCGAAAAATCCCGGGAAAAATCCAAATTTTCCCAATAACTCCAACGAATCTCTTTCACGTACTCCACGTTGTCGGCATCACGCCATCACAAAAGGCCCGATTAAAAAAAAAATCACCAAAAAAGAACGATGCAACCGTGTCTCAACACCCAAAACGCACATTCTGAGTAATTCATAAAAAAAGCACTTCAATTTTCCAGCAAATGAAAAGAGAAAAAAAGAGATACCACAAAAATAAAAGCGAAAAAAACGGAAATGTTCTCGGAGGCAACAACACCCAACCAGAATCATTTCTGCCACTGGTTTGAACTCGTTTTGGGTAATGCGATTATCGAGATAAAAAAAGAATTTGACTCATTTTTTTTTGCACAGTGGAAATTGGTAATTTTTACTTTTTCCTGATTTTTTTTTTCTTTTTGTGTTACGAGGTTGTCTCTTTTCCTTGTTTGATCATAGCGGCGTGCTTTAACTCCTCTCCTTTCGTCTCATCCAACTTCTACATCCCAACCTCCTTGGCCCCCGGCGCGGTTGGGTGTGGTAACCCACCGTCGCGCGCCTCTTCTTCCTCACGCCCGCACCACCATCCTACAATCCTACCATCCTACCATCCTACTATCCTACTATCTATGCACGCCAAAAATCATATACTTGTTTTACCCTTGATTCAAGTATTCTCCTTCCGAATGGAATCATTGTATTCGTCCAAAAATCCAATAAAAAAAAAACATTGTATGTGAACTTGATTCAAGTATTTTGCTTCCGAATTGAATTATTGTATTCGTCAGAAATTAAAAAAAGAAAATATTGTAGTTAAACTTGATTCAAGTATTCTCCTTCCAAATGGAATCATTGTATTCGTCCAAAAATCCAATAAAAAAAAAACATTGGATGTGAACTTGATTCAAGTATTTTGCTTCCGAATTGAATTATTGTATTCGTCAGAAATTAAAAAAAAAACATTGTATTTAAACTTGATTCAAGTATTCTCCTTCCGAATGGAATCATTGTATTCGTCCAAAAATCCAATAAAAAAAAACATTGTATTTAAACTTGATCCAAATATTGTTCCTCCGAATGGAATCATTGTATTCGTGGAAAATCCAATTTGAAAAAATTGTGTGTAAACTTGATTCAAGTATTCCACTTCCGAATGGAATTGAATCATTGTATTCGTCAAAAATGCAATTAAAAAAATTGTATGTAAACTTGATTCAAGTCTACAGCTTCCAAATGGAGTCATTGGGTCCGCCCAATTGCAAAAACAATGTACAACTTGATTCAAGTATATTAACTTCGAATGAAATAATTATATTCGTGATTATAGAATTTCTTTCGACTTGAATCTCATATAATTCGTGTCTGACAAGTCCACAGGTTATATCTAAAATAAATATATCAATATATTTGACTCGAGTTTATTGCCTCCGAATGGAAGAATTGTATCCACCGAGTCTGACAAAAAATCTAAGAATCTAAAACATCTGACCAATTGCTTATCAACGATAACTCGAGAAATAATTATTAAATCCACCTAATTATTGCTCAAAATATTTATTCCTATATTATTTAACCCGACTTTCAACTCGGCGGTGATTCCAAACATTAACAACCAAATTATTCCGATTAATTAAAAAATTTCTGCTGGGCAATGATTTTTTCTGTATATTATTATAAATAAAATCCCAACAAGAGACCATTCTAACCTGTACGAGTTCTCCTTTTAACCCAAATTACTCCGAATTAATTAACAATCCTTCGATTATTTAAAATAATCTATAAAACATCCCCACGATTTAATTATCACAAAAACTAAAATCCGTTAAACAATTCTTTTGTTAATCATCTTGTGGCTCTTCTGACCTGGAGTTGATCACTCAAATTCACAAATTAATTTCCCAATCATTGAAATCAAATAAAAAACCACTGATCAATTTCTAATTAACAAGAAGATGTCACTTGATGAATACAGAATAGTAACAAAGCTATAACAAATTAATTTAAACCAAAAATTCACTTAATTTCATGATTATAATTTTTATAGGTTAAACACAGGAGTCCCGAGTGATTAAAATAAAAACTGAAGTCATCAATCTCACAGAGTCTAACCAAAATGAAAATCATCAATCAAAAATTATGAATAAAACCCACTACAGGAGTAATCACCGAATAAAATTCCATTTGCATTAACTTTAACTTCTAAAAAAAGTATAAACTCAAAACCGTTTGATGCAGTCAAAGATATTCAATCCAAAGACAAATGAAAACTCCAAGAAAACCCCGAAAGGCCACCAAAACCCAACAATCATTAAAACACACAATTCTATCAATCCACTAAAAAAAATCCATAAAAAACAGTTCTCAATCATCAACTCGTGTCTCAAAAAAAAAGCAAAATATCTTGGGATTCACAACCGTTGGAAAACTGTCGACCCGTTGTCCTTGCAATTGAATCCGGTTTTTTAAAAAATCAAATAATTCCTTGCGACGAGTTTAAACAGGGTCTCCACCTTCCCCCATGCTCTCACCTGTAATCTAGTACCGGTGTCTTGTCACCCCGGCTTTTTATCAACCCCCTGTTGTCCCCCTTCCACACCCACTGAAACTACCCCCTCGGAATCCAGTTAGACAAACCAGATTGCCAGAAGCCTGATATTAATTTGCCCGACGATTTGAGATACCTTCGTCAACGATGTTACCGTATTTCGTTATTTTATCGCGCCTACAGCGCACGTGTCCTTTCCCCTTCTCCACCGGCTAAATGTACATCTTTCTTCAACAAGTATCAATGATTATTATTTGTTTATATTCATAATAATTATCCAGGTAAAAAATATAACAGATGAGCTGCAATAAATATTAAAATAGATTAATGGAATATTTTCTGGAAAGACTCAACAAAACAACGACCAATTCGGCGATATAATTTTCATGATTTGGGTTTTGGAGTCCTCTGAGATCAGTTAAAATATTTATAATTAATTATTGCCTCCTGAAATCCAAATGAATTAATTATAAATCCAAAATTATTAATTATATCGTATTTTTGGTGGTATTTTGTTGAGTCTCTGGAAAATATTCTCTCGATATTTATTTTTTTATTACAGATCTGCATCTGCTTAATTGTTATGAATATAAATGAATATTAATCGATATTTTTTGTAGTTATGATTAATAGTTAATCGTACACTCTTTAGTGGGAGTTCATTTGAAAGTGTATTAATCCATGGATTTGCAAGTTTTTAAACAATTTTTTTGGATTTTCTGTTAAATTATTGAAGAATTAATTCGATAATTCGGAATTCACGCGTGATGTAATTCCCACCCACCGAATGCTCATCAATACAACAAATAATCCCACTCATTACATCAATCATGAACATAATAACAATAATATATCATCACCATGATTATTGAATTATATTAATATATAATTATAATTTCTGAGTAAAAAATGGAGTAAAAAATATAAAAAGCGATAAATCTGGATATCAAAAAAATTGATAATCAATTTTTCACGTCTAGAATGTCTCGAGATTGGGATTAGACTAGATATTTATTAAATAAATTATTGTAGGTTTATTTGTATATTATTTGTATATTATTTGTATGTGTGATGTATTTCCCACCCGCCCCAAATGAACAGGGGAGAAGGTACGGAGAACGTAACAGCAGACGGAGACGTACAACCACCACCGAAGAACTCCGATATATATTTTTGTTAAAATGAAGATAAAAAATGAATAATTATTTAACTCATTCTCCGGTACACTTTTTGATACACTGGACAACAGGCTAACTACTGAGAGCCACAAACCAATGATTAACAACAGTTCTTAATGAATAATTTAAACATAAATTTTCATTCACCACTTGATTTTTTTTTAATGCACTTTTTACACTTCTGATGAGTGTGTGTCACAACTTTTTCAACATGAAAGATTAAACTCTTGGATTTTAATATTTCTTATCGTCAACGTAACGCTCGTTGGATTTTCATCGACAATCACTCGGTGGTAGGGGAAACCAGAGGGAATACTATTTAGTTTCTCTGTTGGGGGTATATTGTGGGGATTTAAATGAGACCAGGAGGGACTTTAAAAAAAATAGTTACTTCAGCCGGGATTTTGTTTCACAATGCGTTAATGCTCGAGCCAAATGCCCGGTACTGGCCAGTTACATCCATCCGTACAATAATCTCTTTCTATTTATTTTGATGTTCCATTCGAGAAAAAGTCTGTTGCCAGTTTTACTCTCTCAATTCACCACAGTTATCTCACCAACCAAAAGGCAAAACAAATTCACTGCAATACCAAACCAACAATTGCCACTAAATTCGTTATTCGTATATTTATTACAATTTTTTCACTTCACACTTTTCGTCATTCACTCTGTTGATTTTTTTTAGGTGGGGGGTTAGGGGAGGGGAGGGAACTAATTGTTGGGATTGGGGTATCTGAACAGTGGTACACCAGTTTCTCGTGAAAAAAAAATATATATAATAAAATTTGATTGTATTAATTGGTGGATTGAGTTGTTTGTGGGTGGATATCTTCCTTTTTTTTTCTCCTCTTTCTTTTTTTCCTTTTTTTTTTAACCGTGCGGATACACGGCTCCACGGTGCTTACGGTTATATTTCTTATATTTCTCTCTTGTTCCACGGTAACCGCCTATTCGCAAGATGGCGTCCGACGTAACACGGAGCTGCCGGCAAAACTTCTGATCGTCGTGTAGTCTCGTCGGATCGCCGCAAACGTCCGCGGCGCACACGCACACCTTTTTAGTCATCTCCGTCGTGCTCTTCCTCAAAGAGGATTGGCTGAAGTAGAGGCGCAGTTCTGGGGGTTTGAGTGACCCCAGGTGCATCGTGGTACTGCACCCCAAGGGAGGGAGGGCGCCACACGCTATGCTGGGATGTTTTTTTTTAATTAATCAAGTTTTTATTGCAATGCTGGGGTGTCTCAAGTCGACGGGGTGAATTTTATTTTCTGCGGGATGAATGAGTTTTGTTTTTTAATTGTTTAACTGAAATTTAGCCGGCTGTACAACGTGCGGAAGGGGGAAACCACATCTTGTGGAATTTCAATGAAAAAAATTATTCAATATGTTGCAGATATACCACTAATAAAATTATATTTACAGAATGAGCACGTTGTCTTAATGGTAACGTGCTTGCCTACCACGCCGACGGCCAGGGTTCGATCCCGCCGTCATTAATTTTTTTTTTTAAATAATTTCAATTTTTTCTTTGGGTAAGTATTCACTGCAATTGAAAAATTCGAAATTTTTTG